GTGTGTGTGTGTGTGTGTGTGTGTGTGTGTGTGTATATAGACTGCCTGATCAGCAGTCCTGTCCTACAGGAAGTCCTGTGGTCGGCCTCCTCTGGTGATTTGTGCTGGAGAAGTGGAACATGACTCCTCTTTTCCTTCATTTCTCCTTTTTTCTTCAATTCTCTCCTTCTACACTCTCACCTGAGCTCTTTCTTATATGATCTGTTCCAATCCCTTGCTTTTCTGTCATATTTCACATTTTCCTTCAACCCATCTCTTGCTTCTTTTCCTATTCTTCTTTTGTGTGTCAGCCACTTATCCCGTCTTCTCTTCCTTCCCACTCCTTCCCATCAATCACCAGTTTTTACTTGTTCATTCCAGGAGATCTTCTGACGATGTGGAATGATGCATAGTTTGTGTACTTGTACTGCTTTTTGATGCAGTATGTTTCACATCTAACTGTTAATGTTGTCCTTTTTTGATAAATGATAACAATTTTACTAATTTTATACTTTTGTTCGGGTTAATAACTTAAACCAGTGATTCTTTTTCATCACAAAGTTTATTAACTGAGCAGCAGTTTATTTTCCATGTTTGCTTTTTATCGTACTATGTTGTTTTATTCTGGCCAAGCATTTTTTTTGTGCTGTTCTTGAATACTTGAATACTGTATCACTGAGGTGTATGATTCTTACAAATGGAAGCAAGGACATTTTAAATTTCCTTATGTCACCTGCACAAATATCAGCAGTTCCTTCTTTCTGTACAGCTCAGTTCTTGTTGAAACACCTCCTTTCGTGTCTTTCCCAGGTGATTGCATCATCACAGTAGATCAGGTCAGTGTGGATGTAGCAACTGAGCGTGTTTCTGTAAAAGACACAGAGAATATTTCCGTGAGAGAGCCTGTTTTTGGCGGGCTTTGATGACAGCATAGAGCTAGCTGCGCTTCCTGCAGCCTTTGGCCCTGTCAGGAGTAATCAGTGCTCCACGGGCAGATGAACCCCCAGGGCCTCCGAGTTTCCACACTGTTACCCTCACTGTAACAGAGAAATTCAATCTAAAGCAGAATTCATAATATTCTTTTAATCAAAAATGTTTTAGATGTAAGTCCAAATAATCAAATTCCAAGGGACTTGATGCTTGTAGGGATATGAATAGAAATATTTGGCACACGTAGAGCTGAAAGACAAATTGCCTCTCTAAGGACATAGTTTAAATGCCCGTTGATACCGTAACACTGTTATGGGACTTGGCTATGCAGTTGAAACAAACGCTAGTGTTGATAAATGCAGCTATAAGGCTGTGAGAGAGCCTGCGACGTTCTGCAGCGTCAGTCATGTTGTGAGTTTAAAAACTGACTTACTACCTGTCACTATGATGTAATGGTACTTCTGCAAGTGCATGTGTGCTTCCTTTAGCTTACACAGGCTGGGTTATGTGCAGATTAATGTTGAACAAGGCTACATTAGCTACGACTATTACTTGCATTACAGCTGGTTCCCCATGGCTGTGCAAACAGTGAAGCTGAAATTAATGAAGAGCTGTGGTGCGTCAAATCCATTAGAACGTGTATTTTTTCCTCTCTATTGAAGAGATGTGTGATGATCTCAGTGGAAATCATTTTTTTATGATTAGTAATCTAAAATAGTGGTGTTGCAAGTAAACCAAATCTTGAATGGTACAATAGCTCCTTGTTATATATATTTTTTCTTCTTCTTCTTTTCCTTGAATTTAACAAGGAATTGACTTTAGTTCCTGTGTCTTAAAAGCAAGACCGCTAAAGATTGTAGAGACTATATGAGGAAACCCCGTAGCCAGAATAGTCAGGGCAGCAAATTCAAGCAAACAAAATAGTCAAAAGCAGAAAAGAAACCCCACAAAAACTCTCTATGGTGCACTGATGCAAAAATTCCTGCAAGTACTGAGTTGACGAATAAAAATCAACAGGCATTTCCCCCCCGTTGATGCCCCTGCTTTCATCTGTGTGGTAATGCCTGAGAACACGGACCCCTCAGTGTGAGGAATCCCTCGGAGCAACCTGTAAAACCAGTGGGAGTCAGATCTGGTCTTCTGATCATAGACGTGTCTCTGCGCTCGCTCCAGGTGTGTTTTTATGTAACTGTCAGTTACTTGCTTTGCTTTGACTTACAATTGCTTAGATGTCTGCTATACTTGATTTTACACGGTGAAGTCACTAAGGTATTCTTTTCTGCGTGTTCAGTCCTAATATAGCCTTTATGCAATTATCCTTGAGGGTTTTTCTGCTTCAGGTAATTATAATATTTGCAATGTCCTTAAAACACAACTGTACAGTGTGTCCTTTGTGACTTCCTGGACAAGTGTGCACTTCCTTTCAAACAAGAGACACTATCTCTTTCAGAGACGTGTGTGTTATTAGAGTGACACAATATGAGGACAAAATCAGCTTCACGTTTGGTATTGACGGACCCCCAGGGCAGAGCGACTTGACAACCCACAGAGTCACTGTCACTCAGTCGTTATTAATGTGGTCATTATACTTTGATGCTGCCCATCAAACTATAGGAAATCATTTTTGGTCTGCGGGGTTGTAGTTCAAGTTTGATGTTGAGACCTGCGAATTAAGGTCAACATCATGAGTAGCCGTCCTTCAGTCATAGTCAGATTTGGATTGGAATATATTTGGATTTAAATATATTTTTGTATATTCTTAATATTCTTGTTTCTGTACACAATTAGTTTAAGACCTTTACTTTTATTCATCTCCTATTCATTGTTCCCTGCTAACATTTACTCACACCTCATAGTTCCTGTAACTGGAAAACACAGCATGTTGCTACAAGTACCGTCCATCGCGGTAGGAATCTTGTTAGGTGCATGATGAGTCCATTTTGTGCAAGACTAATATTTGTAACAGCCTTTTTTATGGAATATATACATTAGTTCATTGAAACCTTGATTCTCTTCCTGTGGTGTGCATCTTTAAAACCCTGGTGAGAGACATTTACATGGCTTCTAAAAACACACCGCTTGAGTAGTCTCCATTAAGCAATACAGGATCAGCGTGACGCTCCCTCTCTGTCTCCCTCCCTGCAGTCAATGTCCTCAGCAGTGGTCCAGGTGTTTGTAGCAGATAGGAGTTCTAGCTGGACCAAGAAGTGCGGCGGGGTGGCCTGTCTGGTCAAAGACAACCCGCAACGATCCTACTTCATCAGGGTCATTGACATCAAGGTAAGTGAAGACTAAGCAAATGGCAAAACAGACACTTTGACGATTGTGTATTAGTGATTTATCGCTGTCGTAGTTGCTGCTAACAGATGATTGTACTAACCACAATGAACATCAGCTGTGGTACACTACTGTTCAATATCCATGATCAACTTTATATATTTATAGCCACACTGTAAATCGGTGGGATCTTATTAAACTTAATCCTCACTTAAAGCTGGGAAAACTCTAATAGTATGTTATAATGCAATCAGGACATATACATGTCTACATTATGCGACAAAGAACACAACATTCCACATATCTTCATAGTGTCTACTGACCTTATTCGGGTTCAGTTAATCAGAAAATGCTGTAGACATGGCATCATCTTAATCAGGTTAATATGGGTCTATTGATGTTCATACATATGTGTTTATTATCTGTCTGTTTATTTCCATAGGATGGAAAAATTATGTTTGAACAGGAGCTGTACAATAACTTCAGCATCTACACCCCAAAACCTTACTTTATGACGTTTGCTGGAGACGTGAGTTGCTTTCTCTATTCCTTTTCATGTTTCTTATTTTTTATCAACTTAACTTGAATTTACTGTAAATTTCTGTCTATTCATGAAAAAGCCTCACCAACAATTTCTGCCTCTCATGTCATAATGTCTTTCCTCATCAAGTCACAGGAAACTGATCTATTCTACCCCATTACTGCAATTTCTATTTTTTTTTTAATCCTAAACGAAACATGCATGTGCAAGTTATTTCCTTCATCAGACATCTAGTCCTTATCTTGATCAGTTAAAACAATATTTATTTTAGATCTATGTGATAAGACCCATTTTATTTGTGGACTATCTTATCTGGTGGGTACAGTGGCTCAGACTCCAGCAGACCATGAGGTATGTGGTGTCTGCTGTCTGTGCTGGGATTGGGACTGGGATTGTTCACTGGAGATAGATTTGTAAATTCTGAACTGACTTCACAAATGTGCTTTTGTTGAATTTGTACACTTGTTTGGTTTTTGTGTGTGTGTATTTACAGACATGCCAAGTGGGTCTGAACTTTGCCAGTGAAGAGGAGACCAAGCGTTTCCAAAGCCATGTGACAGAGCTTATGGGGAAAAGACAGAGAAAATCCGGTACCAACTTATTCTTGCAGCAGACTCGCCTACAAACCCTACCTACTGTCCTAACACAATTTTTTAAAAATGACATGTTTAGTAATTATGAATCCTGTGTTCAGAATACAGCAGCTTTTTAAAACTCATTTCAAGCCAGAACCTGTTGCTGCAGTGAACATTAAAAGGAGCAGTCTGAGGTTTTTGCTTGAACTTATCTGACTGATGTGAACACAAGAGCAAATTTATTTCTAAACATGTCATTTTTATAAAGCTCTATCACATAGAACTGGGCAAAAAACATTTCAATACATGAAGGAAATGAATGTGGAGGTCCTAGATTGACGTATTCTAGCTGCTATGTGAACTGTTCTCTGGTTTACACAGACTTGAACGTCCGACCTTAAGTGTCATATATTGAAAGAAAAAATTAAATTTTTCTTTTTGCCTGGTACTGTCACTACTCATTCTTCTTTTCCTTCCAATCTGCAACCTCTCCTTCAGCCTTAGCTCTTCAGGTCCTCATGTATAAATGAATATGGTCAGAATTGAACTCAAACCCCTTGTTAAAAATATAAAGTCATACACCAAATGTTTGCCTGTATGGAAACCTCACATTTACCATGGACCTACATTTTTGGTTTCCCCACCCACATGCAACAGTCAATGGGACATCCTGGATCAATATATAGGAACTGCTGGATCACATGGTTGGAAAAATAATTTTTTCACTGGCCCAAAGGGGGCACTACAGTTTCACTTTAAAATGAGCAAATGATTGATATACTAAGAAAAAGTTGACTTTTTGATATGAATAAATGATGCATGTTTTTTATCTAGTACCAACATTTCAACTTTGGGACTACAAGACCTAATGGACAATTCACAATGCTTTTGTTCTGCGTTCCACCGTCTATCGTATCTCTTCATCTAAGGAAATGAGCTGTGAATGTTTGTGTGGGCCTGAACAGAGTTAGGATTCAGTTGAAACACTTACCTCATGCAAAACCACAAAGATACATTGTTAACCCTATTATTCTTGCACTTTTATCATTGCTTGCTTGATTACAACCGTCCATCTTCCTTCTTCCTCCTCCGCTGCGTCGTTCCCTGATCTCTTCAAATGGATCGTCCTTTTTAATCTTTTCCTCTTCAGCTCTCTGCATTGGATCCTCATCTTATCTACAAGGCCATCAGTATTTTATATGTGTGTGTGTGTGTGTCTGAGGGTGAGGGTGTGTGTGAGGGTGTGTGTGAGGGTGTGTGTGAGGTTAGTGCCATAGTGGTTTAATGGTTTATTTATGGTACTATGGGAGACAGAAAGCGGGAGGCAAATACCCTCTAGACAGTTGAGTGTTATGCATTCATATGTGGATATAATATATATATAATATGTATAATATTGGCTGTAATGTGTGAGTGAATGAAAGTAATCTCTGATTTACGTCCCGTTAACGCACTAACCGAACAATTTGCTTGGCAATTTTTCCGAATAACTTTCCCATCCCGTCGAGCCCTGCGCTTAAAACAAACAATACTTTCTTCTGTGCTCTCACGCACATTCTCTTCTCACTAACTCAATCCACTGCTCAGCGCTGGATTGTAATGGTTTGATTTTTGTCTGTGTGTTCACAGAGAAGAGACGTGACCCTCCAAATGGTACGTTTTTCACCGTTTCTTGAAAATAACCTCAGATATGAACAGAGGATTGTAAAAGTCGCTTTTGATGTGTGTCTGATGATGCTGGGAAACGTTTGTGTCAGTCTGTGTGGTATGTCAGATGGGTGAGGTTTCAGGATCATTCAGATATTTGTAGGCTGTGCAGCATACATAGAATTTTATATTCTGTGTAGGAAACACCATCATTCACGCATCTATGTTGAATGACCCACAAAGATTGATAATACAACTCAAACCGAATGAAGTGCACCTAAAGTAAAGTCAAAGCATTAGTGCAACGTTAATGGACGCTTTGCAATGCAAAAAGGAAATTGAGGATCTTCTTATAGCAGGAAAAACTAGCTGTAAACGGTGGTGAGACATTTCTGGGAAAAACCTTGAATGTAGTCTTAGATTATTTGATATGCATCATGCAGATACTACATGGTCAAGAATGACATCATCTGGTCTGCCCCCTGTTCTATATATTTTTATACTCTTTACTGCAGCGTATTAAGATAAGAGCGACCTAGAAGAACTGCTTATTCAGCTGTAGACATGAGCAAAGGTTAAGTTTAACAAGTCAAGTCCCACTTCAGTAGCTTATTCCACTTCCTAAAACTCTTCTTTGTTCCTCAAAATTACATCTTCGAAAGGTTTTTTTCTTAAATTGTCTCGACACCTTCTGTGAAATTCTTAGCTGTGGTGTTGACTACTTACTTCAAGTCAGAATAAATAGAATACTGCAGGAAACCAGAGGAAATAAAACCCTGTGATTGTATTATTATGGCGCTGTGTTTACATCATAATATTACAGCGCACTGTAGTAGAGTCTTAATTTGTGACTTATGTGTGATTCAAGGCCTCACTCTGTCAGTGTGGTCGGATGACTAAACAGAATAAGTAAACATCTGCACATGTTGCCCAATACACAGCTTAGTTCTAGACAGTAGGAGCAGGAGATGAGCTCAGAGTGTGTGTGTGTATTTGGGTCACACATGCTCAGATGCCATATTTGGTCATGATGTCACTAACCCAACATGTAACCTGGAGCTATACGATAAACTATCTTCCCTGATGGTTGACTTCCTTCAACAACATGTTGTGCGTCTGTGCCCAGTTGTGCCGTCATGCCTAAACGTTGATGCAATTTTCTCTTGGATAAGTCGTGCGTGGTTTAAGTTTGGGAATAACTGCATCTTCGTCACTGAATTGGTTCAGTCCCAAAGCAAACCATCCTTGATGTCCTCACACAGACGTTTCTTCCCTTCGTGTCCGTCTGTCTCCCTCTCACTCTTCCACCACTGCATCATAGCTGTGTTACTTGTCTTTCCATCTCTTCTGCTCTTTTCCCTTTCTGCCATCTCCAGCTCACCCCTTCTCATCGTTTGTCCCCGTCTGCCCCCCGCTCCTCATTTAATCTCTCTTAATTTCTCCTCTTTTCTCTCTCTTTGCTCTTGTCTGCCTCCATGCCTTTCTCACCCATCATCTCACCCCACAGATTCATCATGTTTTAGAAACCCCTGAGATTAATGCAAGATTAAGCCATGGGTTGGGGGTTTAATGGTTACGTAAAGTCCAGAGCTAAATCCCTAATAATTTGCTGGGATTAGATCCATTTGTGTGTTTTGCAGTGAATGGGAGGAGATTGTGACGGAGGTGGGTGGGGAAACGGATCGCGTCGAGCCAGTCAGAGCACGATAATATAACCGTGCACCCTGTTGAAATGGGAGAGCCAGGGTAATCGAAAAAATGATTGCAAAGTAGATCCACAAATATGCAGAGTTCAGACGCACTGACACAGCAAAGAAACAGAGACTGGGAAAACAGGAGACATAGAAGAGCGCTGTTAAAGTAATGGAAGGAATGTAAGAAGAAGAGTAACTCCGGCTGTTGACTGGCTGAGTGTTGGCTGGCTGAGTGTTGGCTGGCTGAGTGTTGGCTGGCTGAGTGTTGGCTGGCGCTTTTCCCATCCCATGGCATTGCTGGACGTCAGCCTTCACAGCTCAGGCAGCATGCTGTTCAGCTCCACCAGATGTCTGGAGAAGATATTTAGTTAGAAAATGCACCAAGTCCATCAACCGTTGACTTTTTTCCTTAGCTGATGTTTTGGAAATCTTGAGGATCCTCTTTGTTTTCTTTAACTTGAGAAGACTGGAATCATTTCTGAGACGAGTCAAGTGGATTTTACTGTTTCTTTCATCCTAAAGTTTGTGCTTCAAGGAAGATGTTCCTTTCTGAAGAAGTCTTTCCCTGTTAAGATTGAGAAACTTTTTACATCAATCAGAACTTCTATTATATTTCTGCACATTTTTATCTTGACCAAGACACAAGATCCACCTTCAGAACAAGATACTTTTCATTGTTCCAACCTTATCACTCATGCCCGGCTATCGTCTAAGATGATGTTCTGCACCACCTTTCTGTCTGCTCCCTCTGAGGAACTTAACTCCGAGGGCAGTTGCGTAGGAGGGGGAACAGCAATGGGAGGTGGAGGTTTGGGCCCAGGTAGCTGCCTGTCTTCCCTGCACTGCCTCGTTCTCCCTCAGGACGATCTCTACCCGTCTCTCTCTGACCCAACTGCTCGACGCTCGATTTCCCCCGAAGAGCGAGCTCGCAGCTTGGTGGGCACGATGCTTCTTGACGTCAGTATGACCACCTGCGTGGCCAAAGAGGAGAGTGGGTGCATTTGGGACCGGGTGAGAAGGCGACGCAGTCGGTCGGCCTCGCCTTCACCCAGCAAAACTCCCAAAAGTCCCTGTAGTGAGAGTGCCAAAGGTATGTGCTACATCTGAGGCACTGGTGGAAAAATTAATTTCAGTTTTTACACAGTGAGATCTTTGGAGCATGTGAAGAGAACATGGTATAAATGAACAAGCCAGATTTAGAATTATAGAATAGAATTGAGGTTTGGTGCAATAACAGAATCTGAAATACTGACTGGTGCATGCAGTGTTCCTCTTGTTGTCGATTTAAATCCCATGTTGTTTTGCTGCTTGGTACAGTTGTTGGTGATTCTGATTGGTTGTTTGCTGTCCACATTACCATGTACAGTTATATGATGTGACCATGCCCAGTTTTTTTGTGTGTTTTCAAAAGAAAAAATCCTCTTTCTCCACACACTGATATAGAAACACCAAACATGCTCCACATTATTTCCATTTGTTCTTAAAAAGTCTGATAATCAATCATCTGAATTTTAGGCCTTTAAAAAGTCTTAATTCAGTTTAAATATGACTTACTAGGTGTTACAATATATGCATTTAGGTAGATCTTAATCATGGTAACTTACATTTAACGCTACTTCCTAATAGTTTGTTTTTTTTAAGATAAATATTTTGGCATCATGCTCAGTTTGTAATGTCTCTTTGTTGTAGTTCTTTCTGCCATTCAGGTATTAGCGCGCTGTAATAAAACAAGACTAATGTGAAATGAATAACTACAATCATCGTGGTCAGAATTGATCTCAGTACACTTTTGAGTTTTTTTCCTATCTTTATTCAAGAGCATGTTCTTTACTATACAATGTTGTTTTACATAAGCAACAGTTTGAATGATTGTTTCAGACACGCATCATCTGTGAAGTGCATTAGAATGAGAAATGACAGTATGGGATGAACATCTTTATAAAGGATAGTATGTCACCAAACAAACAGATCAAGCTTTGCCAAAACATTTACAAACTTTTATACCCCAGAGACCTTTGCCCGTCTTTATGTAATAAGATTGTGTTCAGTATCAGTTCTCAGTCTGAACAAGTTTTGACATTTCTGTTTGTGGCAGTAATGAGATGAAACGATAATCCCACATAGCCTGAGCCACTGTCACACCATTAAATCCAAATAAAACCCTACTTGTCTGTGAGCCAAAGTCTGTAATATCCATTAAATAATGGATTACATAATAAAACAAACACTGCTGGCCCTGGAACTAGGGTCATTTTTCCCTTTTTATGACTTGTTACACACTTTTATGTTTTCTCAATTACCAGACTTTTATAACCTGTTTAAATATAAAAATATATCTGTATTAACTGTTTAATAATAATTCTTTATAGATGATGGAAACCTCACAACCCATTTTTGCGTATATTTTTAACAAAACCGCTGTCCTCCAATGATTCACATTTGCCATGTTACATAAACCGTAACTCTGTCTTCATCACTTTTCCAGGTCCCGCATTGCCCATGGCAACAGTCGACATCAAAAACCCAGAGATCCACAATGCTCATCGTTACCATCACAACCCTCAGGTGAACAACATTGTGCACTCTGCCTTCCCCAAGAGGGAGAAAAAGCCAAAGGGGAAGAAGAAGAGGCTGACCAAGGCGGACATTGGCACACCGAGCAACTTCCAGTGAGTCAGGGGGTGCAAATATGGTTGTCTTTATGCCATGCCCTTAGAATGGATGCAGATTTGCAAATTAAAACTTACTTGTCACATTTTAATGTAAAATTTAGTGTGTTAAAGACCTGCTGAATGTAGCTGATGTTTGGCTTTATCGTAGATACATTTCCCATATGACACGCTTGCCCACAGTCTGATCCCATCCCTATGTAAGTGCTGCTGAATCTGGGGGAGGTATTAATCCAGGCTGTCTTCACTTATCCTGTGAAATATGTGAAAGATTAATAATGCAGACAAATCTGTGCTGTGCTTTCAGGAACTATGTCTGTGTTTATAAGGTACCGCAGGTTATCTCTGGGTTCTGAAGCTGTTTTTCCTTGTGTTTGCTGTAAACACATGATTGTCCTCCATCTGTATAGTTAATGTTCTTTTTAACCTTTACGTGACCTCACATCCTCTTGTTTTTCTTTTCTCACAGGCACATCGGTCACGTAGGCTGGGATCCAAACACAGGCTTTGATGTAAGCAGAATTCACATAACCTAATGTGTGCACATGTCACAGTATGTGACCCATAGATATTCTTAAAACTTGGCCCATGAACTTATCTGTTTGTAAGACACCCCACCCCCCCAAGACACATTTTTCAAATTTAATAGCAGCTCCAAAATATTAAGCCGAGCTGCGTGGCCAAGTCGCCATGAGTGTTACACAAGGAGATTTTGGTTGGAAGAGAATCAACCTGCATCTGCATAATCCATGGACTCGTTTCCAAAAAGCTGCGTCAGTAATTATGCTACATGGCGAGTTCGAGATCACGCAGGTCAGAGGACTTACCCTGTTCATAAATGAAAAAAAATATCAGATGATTTGGTTTCATAAGATAATGCTTTCAAGGACTTAGATTGATTTGAATGTGTGACGTCAGGCCCGCTTACCTCTCCAGACCTCGGGCTTAAAATGAGTGGATTCACACTTTCAGGTAGATTTTATTTTCTAAGCAGCTAAATTTGTCTTTGTTCTTTTCTATCCTTATATCATAGACACTAATTTAAAGCACTTTAGCTTTATTTTAGATAAAGCAAAAGGGACTTCAAGGCACTTCAGATTTTGTAAAAAATTTTATGAGATAAACAAACACCAATTTGGATTCATATAGCTTCAATTGTTGGAAAAAAATACATTCAAAAGTATGATCATCCAAATCACTTCATCTAGAGAGGGTGTTAACTGGTGCACCGTCACATAGCTAACCTAAAAGTTAATCTCTTTATTGTCTGTGCTGAAGTGGCCAGACCTGTTCAAACTTCTATTTAAATCCAGATGAATGAATAATATTTTTTTCCGGCATCCCAGGATGTAGTGTTACACCACCAGGAGGCAGCATCCCCTGTGATATTTTGGTCATATTTTAAGCTGTTTTTACAGGGAGAGCAGAAAGTGTCTCCACACAGCAACGCTTAACTTTAATAGTTCACAAGAAAAAGTACGTCTCACTTTCACCTCCTCGTTAAATCAGAATAGTATTTATATTATAGCCAGTGTTAAACTGCTTTTTCAAATGTCGCTCTGACCTGAACCAGAGCAACCTCTTCTCTTGCTCATATTGTTCCATAATTTAATAGTATTAACACTAGGTATATTTAATAGGAATATTAATAATAAACTTCATCATCACCTTTTAAAACAGTGTTACGAGGTGCTTTCCAAGTAAAAGAAATAAAGCTTTGAAGGTAAACAATAGAAAATTAAAAGCAGTTTGAAGATCACACAGACAACATTGGAGAACAAACATAATAAAATGATTAATAAAGTCAGTAAGATCATAGAAAGATTAAAAGCAAGCAAATAATTGATTACAAATAATTTGGATTTATTTGAAATTAGGCCAAACTTTTGTCTCTGCAGTAACCCTCACCTACACTGCCTCCATCTTCAGTTTACATGGAAGATGTCATGTGTTTTTTCCTCCAGTTGAATAACTTGGACCCGGAGCTAAAGAACCTCTTTGACATGTGCGGCATCTCCGAGGCCCAGCTGAAGGACAAGGAGACCTCGAAGGTCATCTACGACTTCATCGAGAAGAAAGGAGGCGTCGAAGCTGTGAAAAACGAGCTGCGGAGACAAGGTACGGCAGACATGGAGTCTGAGAATACAAGATTGTCCTCTGCACCAAACAATAACAAAAAATCGATCTGTACATGTTTTCGCAGGATCATGTGTTTTTAAAGCATTGATTGTCCCTGTAAAGACAATCTAACTAGTGTGGTGGTTTTATCCCCAGGTCCGCCCCGGTGGAGCGGTAGGTTTCTATGCATGACCTGCTGTGACAGCTCATGACTGTGCATGTAGAGTTCGACTTAAAAATGGCCAGTAAATTATAGCGTGTGAGGCTTTTGTCGTTCCTTAAGTCAGTTCAGTGTTTGCTGTTCTACTCTTGTTTGTACTTGAGGTGGATGTGCTTTTATTACCCATCTCTCGGGCTTAATTAATATCAACAGAGACAATGTAAATACAGCGTTCCTCTTCCAGGCTGCATCGTATTTTAGGCATATTCATGAAGTTGTTGTCATGCAACGATTGTGTCTCTGCTGTGCAACTCTTATCCTGACACGAGGCTTAGCCACACTTGTAAAACTCTCCTTGTGGTTTGCTTTACTGTAAACTCTGCGCATGTGAGCTGGCCCCTTTTTAACCAGCAGACAGACTCAAGTGCACCAGATCTAAACTTTCAAGAGTAAATCATGGAAATGAAAAGTCTGTTTGACTGCAGGGACAATTTCAAAGTATTAACGTCTGAGATGTGTTTTTTTTATATTCTGTGACACTTTTTCTTAACAGATTAACATTGGTTACATAGGCGAAGGCTGCCCCCTGTGGCTTGATTTTATAACTGCATGGCTTGATTCAAGCAATGAGTGGGGACCTGATGAGCATTTCTGACAGATATGCTGTGAAATTATTTGTGAATGTCCACATCTTCCTCCTTCTCTTCATAAAAGTAACTTGAAGATGAAGATGAATTTCTTCCAGCTGCAGTCTGAGCTCTGAATGATGAAAACTGATCATTAGTGTCTGTTCTAACATTTTTTTCTACCTTTTAACTATTTTGTTCTTTTCACTTTCTCTCCTCAGCTCCTCCACCTCCTCCATCCAGAGGTGGCCCTCCTCCCCCACCCCCACACCACAGCTCAGCCCCTCCTCCCCCTCCTCCTGCACGAGGGCGAGGTGCCCCGCCGCCACCTCCCCCCTCCAGAGTGCCCATCTCCACGCTCCCACCTCCCCCTCCATCTCGCCCAGGCATGTCCGCCCCACCACCGCCGCCCCCACCAAGCCGAAGTTTTCTCCCGCCTCCCCCTCCGCCGGCTCATGCCTCAATTCCGGTGGCGCCGCCGCCGCCGCCACCTCCTCCGCTCTCGTCCTCGACTCCATCTAGTGGTGGCGCACCGCCTCCCCCTCCTCCTCCTCCCCCACCCCCTGGCCCTCCACCCCCTGCTCCTCCGCTGCTCCCAGAGGCTAACAGAGGGGACAGCGTTGCCTCCTCAACAGGCACGTCGGCGCTGCTGAGTCAGATCAGAGAGGGCACGCAGCTGAAGAAGACTGAGCAAAAAGAGAGGCCAGTGTCCAACACCGGCAGAGACGCACTTCTGGACCAAATCCGACAAGGAATCCAACTTAAAGCGGTCAGCTGTTCACTCACTCATCACGCACAGCTCGCCTCTCAGTCAACTACATCATCGTCTGAATCCTGTGCTTTAACTGTGGCTGATTCTCTTTTACAGAGGGATGACAACACAGACTCAACTCCTTCCACCCAAGCCCCCTCAGCAGGCATCGTAGGAGCGCTGATGGAGGTGATGCAGAGAAGGAAGGCTATTCACTCTTCAGGTACATGCAAACACAAAAAATAAGGACAAGGAGACATTATGAAATGTTTTGCTTTGTCCGACTAACAGCCCCAAACCACAAAATATTCAATTCACTATCATGTAAGCAATGTAATAAGTGAATCTGGAGCGAGCACTAGATGACATTATAACTTCTAAACAACCAACTAAGAGATGCATTGTTTTAGATGCAGCTATGAGAGGATCCTGTAATAGATGCTTATTTCACTACAAATGTCAAAATAGAAATCAGCATTCACTACTTCCTCATCAGTCTCAAACAAACTTGTGATTTCTTCTATTTCAAGCGTCTCATTGAGTGAAATGTCTCTTCCCTACTCGTCAGTTGTTTCTTTAAATATATCAGGAGAAGGAACAAGAAGTGATCACACAATTGAGAAAAAAGAGAATAATGACAAAGTCATTGCCACCAAACACAGAAACACGTGAAACACTCAAAAGCAGCATTTCCAACAGTTTCAGTTCACTTACTGTGAAATCCCTCTTCTGTTCCACAGACGAAGACGATGACGATGAAGATGATGAAGACTTTGAGGAGGACGACGAATGGGACGACTAGCGATTTTTGTTTTTCTTCTTTTCTTTTTTTTCTCCCCTTCCTATCCCTCTGGATGACTATGACACTAAAAAAATTCTCGTCTTTCTGAAAAGAAATCTTTAATTTCAAAANGAGAAAGAGAGATAGAGCGTGAGAGAGAGATAGAAAGAGACAGAGCGAGAAAGAGACAGAGAGATAGAAAGAGACAGAGCGAAAAAGAGACAGAGGGAAAAGAGACAGAGAGATAGACAGATCGAGAGAGAGAGAGAGACAGAGCGCGAGAAAGAGACAGAGCATGAGACAGAGAGAGAAAGAGACAGAGCGAGAAAGAGACAGAGCTAGAAATCGACTGATCGAGACAGAGAGAGAAAGAAAGAGAGCGAGAAAGAGACGGAGCGAGAGAGCGAAGTGACCATCGGTGTAAGTGTCTGCTCTGTTACTGTCCCTCGGGTTGTGAGACGATAATGAAGAAGCTTCATAATTCTTTAAATTATAATCTGGCTCCATCTGATTGGTCCAATATATTGAGTGTCACAAGGCACAAGAAACATTATTTATCGCAGTCCTTTGTGATGCGTTTATCGCGATGACGGCAGATGTTCGTAACATCGCGCAGCTCTAGTTTTCAAAAAGGATCAAATACATTGAAATACAATGTTCTCGGTCTTGTTTAGTCGGGTTCGTTAACACTCGTCAGTTTCTTTAGACTCCGGTGACGTGATAATGTTGCTCTGCTACAATCGGACCCAGATAGTTTTTGTGCTAGTGTTTCGCTAAAAGAACCTGATTTGTTAACACGACTGATTTATCGTGTCTCTGCCCCCTTGTGGTCAAACATTGCTGAACGCAGGTTGTAAAGTTCACACGTTCGTTGCTTAATTTCAGTCTCTTGACGTTTAACTTTCAGCTACGCCCATTTACAATAAAATCTGTCTTCTTTTTTTTTTTGTTGCCTTTATGCTTTTTTATTAATCTGTGCAATACCTCATTTAATCTGTAAATGTTCGTCACTCTCATATCTTAGGTTTCTTCTCTTCATCTTCGTCATGTCTGTCTGTTCTTGTTGACTCCTCTTCATCTATGGACAGTAGAATGTCACATCTGTCATTTTAACTATGCTCTTCCCACGTCCCCAACTCTGTGATGTAAATCACCTCCATCTGTCACTCAACCTCCCATCGCACATGTTCTCTCCCTCTCATATTCCCAGTCCTTAAATCAGCATGTGCAATTTTACATCAAGATGTCTCTTGAACCTTAGAGTTGAATGTTTTTTTTTCTTAATTATTTTCTTTGTTTCATTTTTCCTTCGGTCAGTGATTGAAGGGAGGGCTTACGAAACAAGTAGCTTCCTTCATCCTCGTGTCATCGTTGTCCTTCAGGAAGAAGAAAAAAAACTATTTTCATACCCTATTGCTCTGTAGTTTATTTTTACTTATTCAAATGATCCTAGTTTAGCACTCATATTTTCTTAAACAGAAGAAGAAAAGAAAGAAAATGCTCTTTTTTGGAAATATTTAGCTTCGTTTTTCTGTCGACTGTAAATTTGCTCCAGAGTTTTGAGTCTTGTTATATTTTTGCACAGAGTGAAAGTGGAGACTCGCTGAATCACTACAGGACATTTTCAGGTCTGTGTAATTGTGGAACATGGATATGCTTTAACAAACGAGGCAAAATACACGTGGACGTCAAGCATTTAAAACCGTTATCTCACCGCACTACATGCAGTAAACACATGGGGGTAGCCTACGTTATGTCTGGTTATCCATTGTGAATTTTAGTTCTCTCTTCTTTTTTTTTGTCATTGTCACACTACAGTTTTTCACAGTAGCAAACAGAGGACGATTCGTAAATTCCTGTTTGTTGGAGTCAGGTTTTTTTTTATAATGTTCAGTTTGAGGAATAAAGACATTTTAATTTGACACTTCGGATGCTTGTAATGGGTCCATACGCTAAGAAACTGTGCAGAGACAGCCAGGTGGTGTTGTCCCTCTTTTTGACACTAAGTGCTGATCCAGGGAAAAACGTTCGGTTCATGGCATTATTCAATAAGTTTTGACAGTGTCTTGTTTAACTAGTGTGTGATGAGGTGTAACATTAGAAACGCGTATATAAAAATCCAGACGCAACTTTTCAGTAAGTAATCACATGGTGTTATGTCATTGAAAGCAAAGACATTTCTAATGCTAAATGATTTCATCAGTAACAGGAATGGATTAAACCAAGTAAACCATATAATTATTCACAGTTAGTTGAAATTTAAAAAAAAGGTTTTACTACTGATCAATTAGTTATTTCTACTTTGACAAGTTGCGTATTCCTGTTTTAACGGAAGCCATCCTGGCTCCACAGAACTAGGTCGTTTGTTGGTTTTAAACCTTCATATGTACTCGTGGTTTATTTCTCTGTGACACCTGATAATCCAAGACATTGTTTCTCAAGCACTAGCAGTAAATTGTTCAAGATATTTTAACGACACATGAAAGGAAAGAGTCGTCCTTTGAAATATCTTGAATGTTTTATAACACTTCCATTGTCAGTGAAAATGAGCTGTTTCATACGTAGCGGCTTCACCTGAAAATAATATACTAGCATATTTTGAGGTTATAGAAGAGCCAATACAGAAATGATTGTCAGTGTCAGAAAAACGACATAACTACGCTGAAATGTCTCCTTTGTTTTATTGTTTTGTTTTTCTCAGCCAAAAGAGGCCTGTTGGTGTTAAAGTCTTTGAAAGACAAATTGCCACTAGTTAGATGTAAGAACCGACCTCTTGTGTCGGATATTGAGATACTTGTTTGGGGGGGGAAATAAAAGTCTAGCCATGTTTTCACTGATGTTCGCGTCTGTGGGTAAATAAGATGTGGATGCCGGGCCTCATCAGAGAGGTTCGACAAATGATGAACTCGTACGTTGTACACTCCAATAAAAGGTTGAGATTTACATGCTGTGCTGTGTGTTTGTTGATCTCTGTTAGAATTTCTGTGTGAGGGCGTAAAATTCCAGTTTCCACATGAAAAGGAAGAAAAATCAGTCGCATATCTTTCTTGGAATGCGTAGACCCCCCCCCCTTAGTTCATCTACCTATCAATAGCATTAGCAGCTGGGCTATAAAAGTGATTCATTGTGTGAGAGACTGACATAGTTGAACGCTGAAGACATTGCAGTTGGTTTTGTGAGTCTGTTTGTCTTGTGGGGCCAATTCACACAGATACCAGACGTCTGTCACATTTATTCTCCAGGTACACATGAGCACAGCAGAATCAAACTGTATCAGTGTGCATGTGAGCTAAAAATACACCAACTGTAAGAAAAGACATGCAGCAAGAACACAAGATGACCATAGTGACCTTCCAGGAAAACAAGCGAGGGACTAAAAACAATCACGCCACAACCGCTCGGTTCCTTTTACGACTTATTTTTAGTTGATGTCCACCGCACTGACCCTGTATCAGTTCCCTGCTGCAGAGCTTATGAAGGGGATTAGAGCAGGTATGGTACTTTCCACCAGATGATGTGGAGGCAATGATTCCACAGAGACCTGACGGACACACAGACTCATGCAGAAAGACAACAAGCATTTAGAGAAGTCACAGCATGCCTGCAGGTTGACTTGATGTATACCTATAAATACACAAACATATAGTTATATATGTATATTTGTGTATTTACATAGGTTTAAATATATATGTATAGTGATTTATATACATATATATAATACATATATGCTATAACATTGCAGTGCATGTGTAATGCATATATATGTGTGTGTGCGTGTGTGTTTGCTTATTAGATGTCCAATTAGCTAGCTGTTATGTAAAAATATCACAAGAAAAGTATTTTGTCAAATTTTCCAAATGCACTTCCGGCTAGATTTTAGGAATGAGTCATTTGAAACAGCAGTGTCTCATGCACTCAGTTAAAAATGCAAAGGTCAAAGGGTCTGAGCGTTAAAGGCTTAAACTGTAGCTCAGTATTTATTGAACACGTTCAAATATTACTTTATAATTATCTGCTGCACTTCAGAGACTCATGTTACATTTCCCTCCATTTCCCTACAGAGCACAAACACCTCTGTCCATCCTGACAATAATGTCCTGAATTGATAATGCAGTGACCACCCTGAGTGCACAGACCCCACTTACAAGCAGGAAGTCGGTACATTTTACGGCCCCTCTATTGACAGTTGGACGGATATGACAAAGTGCGGTGCTTGAGTAGAGGAAGTTTGATTCTCAGTCACTTAGCTGAAGGAATTCATTGTGCATACTGAGCCGCTGTGGTCATTAAACAGACTTCAGTGTGGAGTGGAGCCTGTATGTGTGCCAAACTCAATTTATGAAATATATATCTTACTCCATATTCCACATGCACCACTAATTAATACTTTTATAGAATATTTTTACATAATTTATACGCTTAATATAGATTTATGAACTCATCTTTGGAACCCATCTGCAACCAAAGAAAAAGAAGTCGACAAAGAGTCGTACTGAAAACACCAAATGGTTATATTTCAACATACAGTTCAACCAACAACAGATCGTATTTACAATTTTACAGTGAATTAGACAAATTACCAGTAAACAGTTAAACTCATTTCAAAATGCCATTGTCTAGATGCATGAATACTTTAAAAAAAACATCAACATTATTAAAATGTCAAGCGATTACTGCAGTGGAAATATCCAGTATATATTTTTTTTAATGAGTAAGAAATCAGTTTGTGCCTCGTCACACTTTTCAATGTGTTTTCACCTCGTGCCTTCATCACTGGTGGGCGCTCTATCATCATCATCATCATCATCAGATTTCCACAGTAATGAATGGACCTCTTTTATTCCTGCTTGTACTATCGTAGATGATGCGGGACTTCCACCTAGAAAACGACAATGGTGCATCAGTTTTAAATTGCATAGAATATATCTGTGCCTTATGTTCCAATATCATGGTGAGAGCAAATATAGAAATGAGAAGACTCAATGAATCAATACTTTCAGGTATAAAAGTCAACTTTTGAGATTCTGGCTTTTGACACCCTGCGACGTTGTTTTGTCGCCTGTGTGTTGTTTGTTGTGTGCTGTGGTGGTAACGTATCACAGATGTCTTTATCGAAGCTCTGCTGAACAGCTTC